GGGAAGAGGGGAGGGAGGACGGGCAGTGGGCAGGAGACACAAGATGGCCCTGGGGTGGAGGTGGTGGAGGTGGTGGGGGTGGGGGGGCGGTTCGGCACAGAGCAGAAGAGGAGGCCACCACAGCCTGTGGGCAGAGAATGGTGCCCAGATGGTCTCCTCTGCCGGGCACCACCCAGGGCCCTAGCCTTTCACTGCAGCAGGAGGGAGGGTAGTTAGACCTTAGCAGAATATTTTGAGAGTAAGAGAAACTTAGGAGGCCTGCTCTGGAAACGGATATACAAAGCCTTCCTGCCCGGTTCCCTAGCTTCCCAGGGCGTCTGCTTGGCTCTGTCTGGGGAGCAGCTCAGGGTGGAAGGGGTGGGGTGAGGGGCAACTCCCCACCCAGATAAGCCCGCCCTCAGGGCAGAGCTACAGGCAGTGCTGGGGCCTCAGCAGGCCCTGACCTTGGTTCTGCTGAGGCGTGGGTATATACAGACCTCCTTTCTACACTGAGGATAAGGAGCCCGCCCCAAGTAGGCAGTTTAGGGGAATCCCAGGGGGCCTGGCACCAGGATGTGCAGCCCCTAGCTCTCATTACCCCAGCTCCCGGGCATGGGATGGAGAGACAAGGGAGGGTGAGGCTGCACCCAACAGCCAGGCCCCAGCCCGTCTTCTCCCTCTGCCCCCAGCTCACCCGAGAATTCTTCACCAAGGAGCTCAGCAAGCACTACCAGGGCAATAACGACACGGACGTCTTCTCCGCCACCTGGAACTCTGTCATGATCACAGTGAGTGACCCCCAAGAGATGCTGTGAGCATTCAGAGCCATGGTGCCCAGTGTTCACATGCCCACGCCAGGCATCAGTCATCAGTCCAGACACTGTCCCATCGATCACGGACTTGGCCTTGGAATCTGCATCCACACAGCATTCTAGGCAGCCATGCCACGTGATCACAGTCCATACTAAGGATGAAACCTATTTGCCAGCCCTGTCTTGGGTCCCCAAGCAATGGTCATGATCATGATGATCATAACCACAGCCCCTGTTTATGGAGAGCTAAGTGCCCGGTGAGGTAGGAGTTGTTACTACCACCCCTGTTATAGAGCTGAGGGCACTGAAGGCCCAGAGAAGCCAAATGTCTTTCTCATGGTCACACAGCGGGGACAGGTGGAGCCAGCCCACACCCAGCCTTCTGATGCCACTCCTTTGCAGAGACTGTCTGTCCTTCTCTGTCCCCTCCCCCGTTTTCGGCGCCTGCCCACCAGACCCTCCTCTGGGATCTCCCCCTAGTTTGGTTGCTGCGGGGTCAATGGGCCTGAAGACTTTAAGTATGCATCTGTGTTTCGACTCCTGACCCTGGACAGTGAAGAGGTGCCGGAGGCCTGCTGCCGGAGGGAACCCCAGAGTCGGGACGGGGTCCTGCTGAGCCGGGAGGAGTGCCTCCTGGGAAGGAGCCTCTTCCTAAATAAGCAGGTAGTAGCCGTGCTCTCCAGACAGGGGAGCGGGTCTATGGAGACTTGGGTGGCCAGAGCTGGGTGGGAGGCGATATCACCCCAGGGGGTCTGAAGCTACCCCAGGAATCCCAGGGAAGTGTTGGCCATGATATGGGATGCCTGCGCCTGAACGGGGGCTGATGGAAGCTCTGTCCAAGCCCCTGAGATCCAACCAAAGTGGGGAAGGATGACAGTGGGAGACGGTCTGCGGCTAGAGTGGGTGTTTGGGCTAAGGGTTAAGTAGGAGTTTTCCAGTGTTTCCTGAGCTTCTGATAATGCAGATCCAAAGGGAGGGAAGGGGCAGAACCAGAATTACACAGTGGGGGGCCCTCCTTAGCCATGCACTGTATTTTGGAGGAAGCTCTCATTTGCCGTGTGGGCTTGCCCTAAGGGAGAAAGGTCTCCTTGACCTGACTCCCCAAGGTCAGAGAAGCTCCTAGATTTTTCTGCTTCTCTTGCAATCTGAGGACTTCATCTCAGCCCTGGAAGAAACCCTTTCCCTTCCTGCACATGCCATTTCTAGGGAAAACAAGGGCCTGGCTTTGTGTGCCTCCTGCCCCCTCCCCTCCCCTCCACCCTGCCATGAGTTCACAATGCCTTTGCTCTTTTTTTTGTTTTGAGACAGATTTTTGTTCTTGTTGCCCAGGCTGGAGTGCAATGGCATGATCTTGGCTCACTGCAACCTCCGCCTCCCAGGTTCAAGCGATTCTCCTGCCTTAACCTCCTGCGTAGCTAGGATTATAGGCATGTGCCACCATGCCTTGCTAATTTTTGTATATTTTTTTAATAGAGTTGGGGTTTCACCACGTTGGTCAGGCTGGTCTTGAACGCCCAACCTCAGGTGATCCACCTGCCTCGGCCTCCCAAAGTGCTGGGATTACAGGTGTGAGCCACTGCGCCTGGCCAATGCCCTTGCTCTTAATCCCCTTCTTCCCACTGACCAGCCCCCACCCTGCCAGTGTGGGGGTGTGACCAGGTTAGGCAGGAGGAGAGGGAGGGAGACGACAAGGTTGATCTAAGCCAGGACCCTGGGCCCCTTGCTTGATTAGGACTTTAACGAGAGTCTCATGGAGAGTTCCAGATGCAAGAGACACAGCAGGGGACAGGAGACAAGGCCCCTGTTCCTGCAAGGCTTACGATCTCGTTAGAGGAAGCACAATATGAACAAGCTGCAAACAAACGAGAAGTCATCATTTCACATGGTCATGATGCTGTGAATAAATAAAACCAGACGAAGGCTAGAACAGGCCTGGGGCGGGGGCTCAAGACAGGCCTTGCAGAGTTCCAGAGGAGGTGACAGTCAGCAGAGGCCTGGGTCCTGGGGCTCTGGTGGGCCCTTTCCAGCCTCAGCTCTGCCCCAGGAACTCGGCCCCTCTGGCCCTGGCACCTGCCCATGGATTCATGAGGATTCATGAGGCCCTGAGGACCACATTCTCTCTGTCCGTCATCATCCTGCCTTCCTGCATGGGAGGAAAGAGACTCAAATAGAGAAATGAGGACCCTGAGTCAAGGCCACTGTGGACTTGGGGCAGAGAGGGTTTCCCCAGGGGCTAGATCCACAGAGACCTGCAGGGGAGCAGCTGCAGGGTAGGGAGGTGAGTTTCAGGCTTCGATGGGGGGAGGCTGTTAACTGTTGCGTTGCCTTCGCCAAGACACCCTCTCTGGACCTCAGATTCCATACGTTGGCAGCGACTGCTGGCTGCCACTCCCTGCTCCATTCATCCCTACTCCCTTGGGAAGAAAAGGTGTATCACACCTCATGACCACCAAGTAGAGGCTGCGCTTCCAGACCACGTAACCCAGTTCTGGCCAATGGGAGGCGAGCAGGGGTGCTTGGTGCAACCTGAGTCTCATCCTTAAGAGAAAGTGCTGTGCCCACCCCTCCCCTTTTCCCGGGCTGGGACCTGGCAGAGGGAGGTAGCCCCTAGGATGGCAGAGCATCCAGAGAGGAGCCGGGACCACTGACAGTTCTACGGCGCAGAGCAGCCACCATAGCGCAGGGTTTTATGTGAAAGACAAATGAATTTCGAACTTGATGAAGGAGCTGTTGTTCGGGAGGCCTGTTGCCAACAGCCAAATTTAGAGCCTTCTAATGCGGCTCGTAAGTTTCAGGAGGCTTCCCGTGGGCCCCATTCTCTGCATCAGATAGGTTTCTCATTTCTGGACTCATCCTCTCTTGGGACGCCTCCTTTCCTCTCCTGGGCAGTCTTCAGAACCGGAGCTCATCAGAGAGGTCCCGGCACAGCCACATTTGTTCTTGCCAGTGACTCTGCTGTTCCTGAGGATCTTCTGAGATTGACTCCTGGGGTTCCTTTGCTGAGACATTCATGTCCCTCCTGGGCATTTCTTCCCGTTAAAAACCTGCTGCTGTGGGACTGCCTCTATTTGTCTTTTTCTCCAAACCACACGATGCATTTTTTTTTTTTTGAGATGGAGTCTCGCTCTGTCGCTCAGGCTGGAGTGCAGTGGCACAATCCCAGCTCACCACAGCCTCCACCTCCCAGGTTCAAGCGTTTCTCCCACCTCAACCTCCCAAGTAGCTGGCACTACAGGCGCGTGGCTACCACGCCCAGCTAATTTTTATATTTTTTGGTAGAGACGGGGTTTCACCATGTTGGCCAGGCTGGTCTCAAACTCCTGACCTCAAGAGATCCACCCACCTCGACTTCACAAAGTGCTGAGGTTACAGGTGTGAGCCACTGCACCCGACCCCAGAATGCATTTCTGACTTCGCTGGCAGGCCCATGGCAAGGATGTAGGAAGAGTGAGTTCACTGTGGGGGTTGGAGTGGGGGTGAGGTGTGCAGGGATGCATGGCGTGGCCATTGGGGCACCCTAGCTGCTCCATGGCCAGGGATTGGCAGTGGACCTGGGTGGACAGGGGGCTTTTACACTGGTCCCAGTAAGAAAGGGCAGCAGGTGAGACCAGGGTGATCGCAGTGAAGACAGAGAGGTGTGTGCATCTGAGAAATGTTCAGGAGGCAGAATCTACGAGCCTTCCTGATGGATCCTCTTTGGAGGACCGGATAGGAGGAGATGCTGAGGATGACTGGTTTCTGGTTTGGGGGAAGATCTTGCATTCAGTCTAGGGCATGTTGAGTGGGAGAAGCCTTTGAAGGCCAGGCATAGTGGTTCATGACTGTTATCCCAGCACTCTGGGAGGCTGAGGCTGGCGGATCACCTGAGGTCAGGAGTTCGAGACCAGCCTGGCCAACATGGAGAAACTCCCTTCCGTACTAAAAATACAAAAATTAGCCTGGCATAGTGGCATGTGCCGGTTATCCCAGCTACTTGGGAGGCTGAGGCAGGAGAATCACTTGAACCCAGGAGGCGGAGGTTGAGTGCGCTATCATTCCACTGCACTTGAGCCTGGGTGACAAAGTGAGACTCCATCTCATAAAAAGAGAAGTCTTTGGAACAGCCAAGCAGAGGTTCCCAGTGGGCAGCTGGATGTATGCGGTGGAGCTGGAGGGGGGCGGTGCTGGAGATACACATGTGGGAAGCATTGCATGTGAGTGACCATGATGGTGGCAGCCGGGCCTGGCTGCCCCTTGTCAGATTCGGTGGGGGGTGACTGTGGGTGGCAGCTGGGGGCAGGGGATGTGCCCACCTGGCAGAGAGGGGGGGCGGTGCTGGCAACAGCCCACATGGTTGGAGGACTGATAGTCTGTGGTGCCAGGCTGGGAAGAGAGGCTCCTCGCCATGTGTCTTACCCGGTGGTGGCGGGAAAGCATCGTGGCGGGGAGATGATGACAGTGAGGCGATCTCCAGGTGTGTAGATGTAAGCTCAGGCTCCAGCCAGCGGCCTGGCCCATAGGAGGGAGAACCCAGCTGCTCATGCCAGCCCCTTTCCCTTTAGAACAGAGGAAAGGGTGGGAACTTGGAATCCGCCTTCTTCCCTTGGCTTCCCCTCCTCATATGTGATCTTGAGCTAGTTAGCCACTGCTCCTCACTCCCTTTTCTCATGGGTAAAAAGCAGGTAAGACCCCTCCTCCCTGAGGGGCTGTAATGAGGATCAAGTGAGAAAGAGCCCATGAGGCCCTAGCAAAGTTCTCAAGAGAATGGACACTTGCTCAGCTCGGGTGGTGTCGTCCCGTCCACGACCCAACTCCCCAAGGATGTCTGTGTTCCTGGGAAGCTTCCCTTGGCCAACCTGGGCTGCTTGGTTGAGTCCAGGGGCCTGAAGGGTCATTGGTGCCAAAGCCTGACTGGGGAAGATGAAATGTCAAGGCCCAGGTGCCACGCAGCAGGGCTTGGCTTCCCTCTGCTAGACAAGGCCCTCAGCTTCTTGCCAACTTCCCCAGGTGAGGCATGTCAAAGTCAATTTCATGCTGCTTCTCTTGTCCCGTGTGTGTGTGTGTGTGTGTGTGTGTGTGTGTGTGTGTGTGTGACTGTCTTGAAATGACACCCAACTCTATGCTCAGACACTTTCCACCACTCAGGATGTGCTTAGAGAGCGGCACAGAGTTGCGGCCGGTACTCCTTGGTAATCCTAATGGGTTGAGATTGAGAGCTTGCTATCTGCCATCACTCTTCCTAGTGCCTTACCTGCGTTATCTCATTTTATCCTCACAGCAGTCCCATGAGGTAATTAATCTTCCTGGCCCCACTGTATGGATGGGGCAACTGAGGCATAGAGAGAGGAAGTAAATAGCCCAAGGTCGCACAGCAAGCAAGTGGCAGGGCCGGCTGGAACCCCAGGCAGCCGGCCCAAGGGCCCACCTGTAACCATTGCCAGACCCCAGTCTCCTGGGCCATTGCTGCTTCCTGTCCCGGCAACCCCTAGAAAAGCTTCACAAGCCCAGGGGTGTGCTGGGGCTGCAGGAGGTGGGATGATGCGCCTGTGGCTGGCAGGCACGCGGAACACGGAGGGGATGATGGGAGGCCGGAGGCGGCCCCTCCCAGGGCTGATCCCAAAACCATGCAACTCTGCAGCTCATCTCTCTTTCCTTCCCTGCAGAGCAGGTTAGCTTTTTTGCTGTTATGGTTCTGCATTTTAGGGTTCCGATGCTTCAAAATCGCTTAACAAAAGATTTGAGACTCCAACATGGGTTTGCTGGCAGATCCAGGATGGCCCCTGGGCCTCATGGAGTGGATGTGCCAGCCCTGCAGGGAACCCAGCCACACTGATGTCCTGACCTGGCCTGGGGTAGGGACCCCTGAGCCACCCTTAGGGCTCCGTCCCAGTCACATAGCCCTTAACTGGACTCCCAGTGCCACAGCAGAGACAAGCCTGGAATATTCAATGAAGACCTTTTCTCCTGGTTGGCATCTCTGGGCCTGAGGTCTTTCAAACCCTGGCCACAGCCTGGTCACTAGAAATTACCTTGGGCGTCGTCCCACAATGCTGATTCCTGGGCTCCAGGCCAGACTCACTGATCCAGTGTTGTGGGGCGAGGCCTTGGTATCTGCATTGCTGACCAGTTCCCAGATTATTCCAAGCACACTCAGCCCTGAGAGGGTTGTGGACCCAGATCATTGTGCTGGTGGGGACTGTTTCCATCTGGGTATATCCTGTTTGCCCCATGGGGCTCCAGAACGGACTTTTGGGGGCCTTCCCCGCTCAGCTTCTGGTCAGCTTCCAGGCAGGTACTAGGATACCACCAGGCCACTCATCCCAGATCAGGCCCCGCAGTCCACCTGCCTGGGCACAGCCTCAGAGCAACTTTTGGCCAAAGGGGCCGAGCTTCTGCGTGATGGACAACGGAAGTGAGCACCCAAGAATCCCTGGTCTCAACAAATAGCAACCACCACCCAACAAGGGCTGGGCGTGATCAATCCACCCCCACCTGGGGACTTGTTCCCTTGCACATTCCTATAAAGAAAGGAAAATTCTCCCACTTTGAGAATATGTGTCATTCAAAGCAAGTACCACGCACCAGTGTCTGCAGTCAGCATAGGACAGGGTAGAGTGATGAACATGAAGATGACAGAGGTGTGAGGTGCTCAGGGTCAGATGGGGCAGCAGCCATGGACTGGCAGCTCCTGGCTCGGCACTGGCTTGCTTTTTCTCCGTCTCCCCAGTCCCCACGCCACTCTGTTTATCTCGATCTCTGTCTCTGTCTCTGTCTCAGTTTATGTATCTTCAGGACTGCCTAAGAAAGCACTAAGAGCATGGGAATTAGGTCCAGGGCCTGTGGGCTGGTCTGGTCCCAGAAAGCTGCCCAAAGGAGGTAGCACACAAGCAGGGTTTTGAAGGCTGGGTTGTGTTTCCTTGGGGAAGTGGCTGAAAACTGGAACTCCTTCTGCAGCCAGGAACAGTAGAGGGGGTGGAGGTGGGACAACAGGGAATGAGGGTGTTAGACCCCCAGGGAGCACCTACTGCATCCGAAGGCAGCAGCTGCTGATATGCTGATGTGAAAAGGATGGTCCCCTTGCTGGTTCTTCCGATTTCCCCAGAGCAGCAGGAAGTCCAGATATTTATGGGAAATTTCCCAATCTTCCAATCACTGTAGTAGCGACATAAGGCAAGGCCCACACCCTGGCAGGTCTCTGCCCCCCTTAGGGGCCGGGTGGCAAGGAGAGTCTTTGTTACAGTGCTGCCAAGTTGCTATTTCTGGGTCTCCTGCCCTGCACCCCCTCCCCACTGTTCGGTCCCAGCAGCCATGTGATAGGGTAAGAGCTCTGGGGCCACCTGCCAGGAACCCTATCCACATGCTGGACTCTGGCAGCAGGACTCTCCCCACTGGCCACAGCCTCACCTCCTGTCCCTCCCTCCCAGGGCTGTTATACGGTGATCCTCAACACCTTTGAAACGTACGTCTACCTGGCCGGAGCGCTTGCCATCGGGGTACTGGCCATCGAGGTAAGTAAAGGCACCACTTCTGCCGCTCCCCAGGACAAAGCCTGACGTGGAGCCCAGGCAGATCCCCATGGCCTGCGCCCCCAGCACCCCCCTCTCCATTTCCTTCACCTGAGACCCAAGGGGTCCCCCCACTCCGTGGGCGCTATGGGGTGGTAAGCCCAGCTGTGTCTCTGCTGCCTGAGAGTCATTCTTTAACTCTGGAGATGAAACCTGGAGCCAGTGTCCCAGAAGTGGGGATGGGCAGGCCCTGAGGGTCATCCCCACTCCTTCCCACTCCCCACCCCTGACCCCACCTCCACCCCAGCTCCATGGTCCAGAGAAATTCCACGCTTGCAGAGGGATCTGCACAGCTGCCTTGAAGGACAGGCCGCAGCCTGCGGTTCAAGATCGGGCCTTTTCTCTGTGGGGTGTTCAGGGCCTATGGGGTTTTATTCATCCACAACGGTGGTCTTAGTCTCCTTTACCTGAGGGCGCCAGAGTCCCCTCGAAAGCTGAGCTCCTGCAGACCCTTTGCAACCACCACTAGGTGGCGCCTCAGCCAAAGAGGAGCAGCCGCCTCGGGTCTCCAACCTCCGGGATCTCCTCCTTCCGGATCTCCGACCTGCGGCTCTAGGGGGCTGTAGAGAGCGCTTCTCAATCTGACCAACCCCAGGAAGAGGCACCCTGGGGCCTCAGCCAGCCCTCGGCCTGCGGGGGAAGGAAGTCAGGCAGTCCAATCCTCAGCTTCCCCCTCCAGCAGCCTGGGCACCTGGCACCATGAACTTGGCCTTGCCCACTTTCCTACTGTGCCTGCAGCCCCGCCGACTGCAGCTTTGGAGAGGCTATTGGCAATGGCAGAGGCAGGGGTCATTTATTATTCATTCATGTATCAACAAGCAGGCATGGAGCCCTACTCTGTGCCAGCACTGTTACAGGTGAACAAGTCCCCTCATGGGAGGCAACAATGAACGAGATAAATGTGCACCAAGCCCCAGGGAACTCTCAGGAATGTGTCCCACGCAGGAAGAGCACAGGCCCTAGAGTCCAGCTCCCAGCTCTGTGGCGGAATGTCTGAGCCACAGTTTCTTCATCTGCAAAATGGGCTGGTCACCCTGCTCCCAGGGCGCAGAGGGATTACAGATGGCGGGGACAGCATACCGCTGGGGCTCGGGAAGCAGCATTCATATACTTGATCCGCTGCCTCACTCACAGCCCAGCCCACGAGCCCAGCTGGCCAGCCCCATGGGAGGCAGAATCTGATTCAAGACAGAGACCTTTACGTGGTCCCATCCCGGCCGTCCCTCCTCACCCCAGTGAGCCACCTGGTGATGTGGCCATGACCTCAGCTACTTGCAAAAAGAGCTCGGGCTGTGGGGACATCCTTCTCACCAGCCCCTACCTGGCTTCCTTTATGTGGTGGAGTCATGGTCAGAGCAAATTTGGTCAGAGTCCCTGAGCTAGGGTCTCCCTTTCCCACCACCCCAGGGCCCTCAGACAGGCGTTCAGGGATGAAGCACATAACTCCAGGAAGGGCTGCAGCTGCCTGCCTATTCATAGCAGCTCTGGTAACCTTTTACTGAGCATCTACTACATAACAGGCACGTTACGTCATTAAGCAATTGCATGACACTTAACTCTCACCACCTTCCTGTGAGCTGGAGGGGAGCCTGCAGGGGCTGTGAGCACGGGCTCTGGGGTCAGATGCCTGGACTCAAACCCCAGCTCCCTTGCTGGTGTCTGTGTGACCTCAGGTAGGTTATGTACATCCCAAGAAACCACTTAAAACTGTGCCTGGGACATGGCCAACTCTGGCTACATACTCGGACCCAGAGAAGGGAAGTGCTTTTTCTAAGGTCACCCCTGTAAGCCAGGGAGCTGGATTTGAACTCAAGACTCAGTTTCTAAAGTCCTCCTGGTCCATGACTCCACCACATAAAGGAAGCCAGGTAGGGGCTGGTGAGAAGGACTGGCCCCAGGGGAATTCTTAGAGGAGTATGCTAACAGTGACAGGCATTCACTCTGTCCCTGAGGCAGATGGCCCCCTTCCCCTGGACTGGGCCTGGCCACCCACAAAGGACCCAGCCTGATAAGCCAGCTCCTGCTTCTTTTTTTTTTTTTTTTTTTTTTTTGCAGCTTTTCGCCATGATCTTCGCGATGTGCCTCTTCCGGGGCATCCAGTAGAGGGTGTGGCCTGAAGCTTGAAGACTCACCCTGCCCACCACTGCCCAGCACCCGATGCCCTCCCCTGCCCCTCTCTGCTGTCTTCTTGGCCCCAGAGGAGAAGATGAGGCCATCATAGATGGTCAGGAGAAGGGGCCAGGGGAATAAAGCTATTTTTTTAACAAAACAAAATGAATACAAAAATATGGACTGAGGTATCCTCACCTGGAGTCGGGGCAGATGCTGTGGACTCTCCACAGAGACCCCAGCGCCTGGCCCAGGATGGAGGCTGCTCTAGAGACCAAAGGAACACCAGGCCCCGTGCCCTCCTTGGTCCAGCCAGACCCTGGCCCCTCCCTCCTCACTGCTCCAGGACCTGATACCAAGGAAGTGAGGATTTAGGCAACAGGGAAGGAGGCAAAAGCCAATCTCCGAGAGGTCATCAAAGCCCAGGGGGCCCCACGGAGACTCAGCTGCCATGGATTGTCCCCGCTTCAGGTCAAGGCCAAGAGTAAGCTGCTGACACAACATTCAAGAATGGCCCAGCTGGCAGGATGTCTGCTTTCCCCTCTGTTGGACTAAAAAATCTCAAAGGCCCAGAGAGGGGCAGTGACCCATCCACAGACACAGCACAGGCGTGTGACGGTTCTGAAAAGCAGCTGAGATGTCTCCAGGCTGCTGTCACGGCATCCAGGACTGTCAGTTCTGCTGTGCACATGCATGCCTGGCCTCAGCATCCCGGTTCCCCCAGACAAGAGAGGGCAAGCTGGCCAGAACTGCCTCCTCCCTTCTCTACAGCTAAGAAAACTCCACTCCTTGACTTCCCACTGCACCCTCCCTCCCACCTCCCCACAGCTCTAAATCCCCAGGAACACACACAAGGGTGCACATCACACCCCCTTGTCCACACTGCCCACCTCTCCCCACAGGGAAGGCCACCCCCTTCCCTGCCCTTCCCCAACTCCCCAGCTCCCAGAGTGGAAGAAATTCCCAAGGCCATCTGGGTCTCCCTCTCCCCATCCAGAACGGAGGCTTGGAGATCCTTCTTCAAGGTCCTGGCCAAGACTTCTTCACCCCCTCGCATACCTCTAGGACAGAGCTTCCTACCTCCCAAGGCAGCCTCCTGCCTTTGGACTACTCTGACTTGAGCATCAACTTAATATACAGAAGAGATTTCTGTTTTTGTGTGCTCCATCCACGGCATCCCACTCACCTGCTCTCCTTCCTGGAGTGTTAAGGTCACACATCGACTCCCCTGAGCCCTCTTCTCTCCAAGCTAAAGGCATCGAGGCCATTTCTGCTGCAACAGGCTTCCTGTCTCCTCACTGTCCACACAATTCTTAGTATTCCCTCCAGGCTTGGGCAGGGAGACTCACAGATGCACACCCACAAGTATTCAGGCCTCAAATTCTAGACAAGTGTTGGCACCTGGATTGCAAGATGCCCCTATCCTGATAGATCAGGGGTGGCTGCTGGAGGGTGTGCTGGTATCCGAGGCTTGGTCTGGGCTCAGTGGGAGATGGTGGTACAATCCTGATGAGTGATATCTGCCAGGCACGGTAAGTTTGATTAGTGATGTCTGCCACGGGCAGGGATAGAAGGAGCAGTGTGAGGTCTGCTCTCTTCTCTCCCCTCTGTCCCTCTTCAGGAAGAGCTCATTCTGTCTCACAAGCCACCAGCACCCTGTACCAGTTTCCAGCCTCCCCTTGGGCTTTCCAGCCACCAGGGACACACGGAGCCACAGCCTAGAGTCCAGTGTTCCCCAGCCTGTACCACCTGGCCCCTTTTGAGATGCAGCCAGAAGCTCTGTGCCTGCTGCAAAGATTCAGGCGGACCGTCCTCCCATCTCCTCCTGCTATGCCCACCAGTGCCAGCCCACCCACCAGTGCCAGCCTGCCCACCAGTGCCAGCCCTCCCACAAGGTCTCTGAGCTCAGTCTTCCCAAATCGTCCCTTTAACAGCTTGCTCTGGCAACCCCATAAACAATACCTGAGCTCCATAGAAGCTAAGCTCCCAAGACCCAGGGGGACCTGCCAGTGGTACTGCGGGCCAGCCTGGGAAGGGCCTGGCGCCTGCTTCTCCTGAACACCCACACGCTTAGCCCCAGCTTCCTGGAAAAGGCAAATGGCTGGTCTGAGAATGACAAACAAACCCAGGCTGGGCAGGACTGAGGCAAATGGCACGACTTTATGGCTCTAACCCAGGGGCACCCCAGGCTTCTGGGGCCCATACAAGCCAGAGGGAGGACCCAGGAGAACGGGCCGGTCACGGAGGGAAATCTGGCTAAGATGGGTTCATGGGCAGATACAAGACTGCACCTCGACAGCTTCCCACGAATGTGCCAAGGAACCCTCAATCAGCCCGGATTCAGCTCCCAGCCAGCCGCTGGCCACCCTCAGCCTGGAAAGGGAAGACAGGCAGTTTCTGCTCCTGTTGGCATCGCTCGGACTGGTAGCTATGTGCAAAGCTGCCTGAGGCCGTTTCTTTGAGGCAAGGCAAAGAAAGCTCAGCGCAAATCAGGCTTGAGCCTCCCTCCAGAGCATGGGGAGGCAGAGGGTTCAGCTGGCTTGGTCCAGATACAACCCACAGCAGGTTCTGGTGGTGGCTGGGGGTGGGGGAAGAGTAGCAGGGATGCCTCTTCGTCTCTTTTCACCCCAGAATACGACGGCACACAACAGAGACTTCCTCGGACCTCACTAACAGGGCAAGGAACAAGACATACCACTCATCACACACGCTGGCCTGTATTGAAAGCCACTTTCCTGCTCCGAAGCTACTGGCTCTTGGAGAAAGGGAATATCTCTTTCCCTTTTGGAGAAAGGGCTGGGGGTGAGGGCCCCTCCCCAGGGTCCCTGTTAATTTCTAGTCTTGGTGCTCAGGCCTTTCCTCAGCCTCCCTTGTCCATCTGTCTATCCATGAGTAAGGGGCCAAGACAAGATTCCCCAAACCAGCTGAGGCCCCAGCACCCCCATCTCCCCGGAAGCCCCCTCCTCCCTTCCCCCATGGGTCATATGTTGAAAGTCTATTTTAAAAGCTATGTTCCTTGCGGTAGATTGCAGAGCTAATTTATCGTGTTTCTCTCCTGTGAGCCCCCTTTTATATGATCTATCCAGAGGAAGTTTTGTAATATAAAACAGGACGCCCACACAGATGGTTTTGCACTGGTTTTTGTGACTGTTTCTTACAAAAAGAAAAAGGAACAAAGAATAAATAGTGACCGTGAAAGGTGGTCTTGATTTGGGGGTGGGGGTAGACTGGGGCAAGGCAGAAGCTTGGCCAGAGGCTGCTGATGGCCGGAGGGAGCTGGGAGAAGAGGCATTCCAGGTCACCCTGAACGGAGCAGAGAGCGGGGCCCACACCAGGCCTTCCTCGCTGGACTTCAGGGCCCTCCGTCCCTCGCCCTCCGCCATCGCCTCCTTCCCGACTTCAAATCCTCCTTGCCTTAGAGCCCCCTGCCCGGCAGGCTGTATGTCTGTCTTCCAGGTCTCATGCCAGCTGCAGCCCCCTCCCTCGCCCCGCCCCCAGGCCCCACTACAGTTAGGTTTAACCAAGCCTCTCGGTATTTTGTGAGCACAGCTCTGTGCAGAGCCTGGCCAGCCCCGTGGGGTAAGGCCACCCACCTCCCATCCCACCGTTGAGTATGGAAGACTGGATGTCTCTGAGTCGCAGGTGTGGAATCCACCTGCGGTTATGGGAGGATAAACCAACCGTAGCTATGAGAGGATCAGCTGGACCTCAAAAGGCCTGGCTCGGATGGGGGATTGAGGCTTCGGCCTGAGGGCACTGCCCGCAGGTGCCACAGCCTGTGGGAGGCAGCAGTGGCTCGTGGCCAAACCAGGGCTCAGCAGCAGGGAGGCAGCTCCTTAGGGAGAGGCACAGGCTTAGGCAGCAAGAGACAGATGCCAGGAGAGGGGCCCTTCCCCAGCGTCCAGCTTCCTACTCGGCTCGGCCATGTGTACCAAGCAGCCTCAGGGCATCCACTGTAACCATGGTGGTGCCACTGCTCTGCTGGGTACAGGCCATCTGGGTGCAGGGACAGCCAGGCAGGGGGTGGACAGGGTGAGGGCCCCAGGCAGGGGCCCACCTGGCAGCACCCAGAGCCGCCTGCACCTGTGGACACGTTCTAGCCATCCCCACTCTGTGCCAAGACGGGAAGTGAGGCCGGGGCCATGGCTGCCTCTCTCCCACACCTGTCCCCAGGGCTTGGGCTCGCCACTTCCGGTGTGTGCCCACGTGCTGGCAGGCAGGAGAGGCTGGGATAGGGACTAACGGGGGGTATACAGCACAGGCTGGGGGGCCCACGGGCAGAGGCAGGGCAGGGGGGTGTTCAGCTCCAAGACAGCCAGTTGTCAGCCTTCGCTAGGGCATTGGACAGGGCTGTGGAGGTGAGGGAAGGCGGCCTGCTGAAATGTTTCCACTTATTTCCCGTGCCGAATTTGGGGGCCACCCAGTCCCACTCAGCCAGACCTTGGGGGCAGCCTGGGCTGCAGGTGCAGAGGGCAGCTTCCGGGAAGCAGGGAGGAGTGAGGGACAGGCTGAGCCCAGTGGCCATCAGGCTTTGGGGGACGAGGGAGCGCTGTAACTTTCCTTCTGCTCCTCCTCCTCCAGCCCCGCCACTTACAATGGCCTCCGTTGGGGCCTGTATGTCCCTTTGTCCATGGGGCCTGTGGGTGTGGCTGCTGGTTGCCTCTGAACTCAGGCTGGTTGCAGGGAGGGAGCTCCCAGGGGATTCCGGAGTCCTGGGGTATAGGCGGAGTGCCCCAGAGCCGGGTCCCAGGAGAGTGGGGACAGGGCTTCTGGCTGTGTGTGGCCCATCCTTGAAGAACAACTGAAAGGGAGGTGCCCTCTCAGACAGCACACCCTGCCTGTGCGCCCTCAGTTGGGCTGTGCAGACGAGCGTGTGTGCGTGTGCGTGTTGTGTGTGTGCTTGCTCACATCATGGGTGTATATGTGTGTCTGTGTGTGTGTTCTGGGTGTGCATGTGGAGAGGGCCAGACTGAGGAGGAGGGGTAAGTTCTCAGGTTTTCTAGGATTACAGGGAAGCAAGTCCAGCCGTTTGGGCACTAGGTTGGCTGGGGGTGGAGGGAGAAGGATGGGGTGTGGTCACAGCCTCTCTCAAAAGCAAGAAGGGCTTCCTGGCAGAGGAGGCTGGGCCTTGACTTAGCCCGCTACCCTCATGACTCCAGCTTGACGTTAGTGTCTAGTGAGGGGATCTGGAGGCCTCCAAGGAAAGCAGGTGTCACTGTCAGGGTGAATAGGGCCGGCAGAGCCCGTCTCTCCCCAAGCCAGCATGTCAAGCCTGAAAGCCCAGGAGATCACAGCATATGGGGAGCCCAGGAGGAAAGGAAGGCCCCCCACCCCCTGCCTCACTGGGGCAGGGCTGGAGCAGGGCAGGGGACCCTCCTGCCTTCCAGGAGCCAAAGGGAAGCTGAGGCCCCAGCGCCACACTGCTCCGGGCATGGGCAGGGCCCTAGGCCCAGCGGGCGGCTAAGCCTTCTTGGGTCTTCGGCCAACTTGGTAATAGTAGTAAATGCTGATGGCGACAAAAAGGAGGCGGCTGACCAGGAGCAGCAGGATCCCCAGGGACATGAGGCCCGTCTCGGCTAGCGTGGCAGTGACCACTGTGGGAGACAGGCCGGCGAGGCAGCAGGGTCAGAGGAGGGGATGCGTCCTGGCGCCGCCCCCCAGCTCAGAGCCTTGGTGTGGCCGTCTCTCTTTGAGCCCAGGGTCCTCCCAGGTGGGAAGCACAGGACCTTCCCCCTGTCCCTGCCAACCCCACAGATGTTTCTGATCTGATGTCTCCCATATGGCAGGAACTGGAGCACCACAGGTGGGGAGGAGGGAGCGCATATTATTACACAGGTGCTGGATACAGTGGGCAGCATGTGGGGGGGCTGCAGGTGGACATGTGTGCAAGGCCACAGATACAGGTGTGTAGATTTGGGAAGCCACAGACACGTGTGTTAGTTGTGCGTGCACAGGTGTGCAGGCACACAGGTAAGCACGGCCAGGTGAGCCCTTATCCTTCTGTCCTCTCCCCAGCCCTCACAGACAGGTTTTCACCTCCCACACACCCGAGTGGCTACAGCAGGCAGGTCAGCGGCGAAGCTGCTCATCAGCCTCAAAAAGTAGGATGCCTCCCTCACTGCCCACCTCAGGACTCACCCAAGAACTGGACCCCGAAGTAGCAGGCTTCGGTGAGCAGGGTCCATCGAATGATGACCTTCTCAGCAGTGTAGAGAGCGTTCCACATGATCAGGGAGATGCCTGGGCAGGGACGAAGAGGGGGCTGTGGGTGGGACAGCCAACTCCCTCCCAGCAGAGCAGGGGGCCTGCTCCTCCCTCCTTTAGCCACTGCTGCAAGACAGCCGGGGTCCTGGACGCCGTGTGCCCGCCTCTACTCACACTCCTCAAATCAAAGCTGTCTGTCCCCCATCCTGTCCCCTCCAGACTCAATGCTGCTGCTTCAGCCTGCTCCTGTCATTCCAAGGCCCTGTGCGACACTGGGCAAGTTACTTCCCCACGCGGAGATGCGATCTCTTTATCCAGTGGGAACACTGAGCTCCTGGTCCCTGTCCATGTCAGGGTCTGTCAGGAGGATGCTGTGTTGACGGAATCTGTGAGCTAACAGGTTACCTGGTCCTATGGCCGGGTCTTCTTTCCACATAGACTCCCAGACAGAAAACCTGAGCCCATTAAGGAATCACTGTAAGGGACTCCCCAGGGGGTGGGGGATGAGCCATACTTTTTAGCAGAAGAACCACGGACTTGGCCTCTAGCAGGCCCCGCCCACCCAGTGTCTGCTGGTACCAGACATGTCACAGGGCGTGTATTTATTTTATTCCAACAACCCTAACTCCAGAGGAGCTGAGCCCTTATTCTGTAGGAAATATGGGGCCATAGAATGTTTTGTAGAAAGGGAGGCATATTACCTATGCTGAGCTTTACAAACTGTAGTTCGAAATCCTAACATACGCATCTCGGGTTAGAGAGGAGACAGAAGCGGTTCAAACAGAAGTGGGGATAAAATGGGGTGGGTGCGAGGGGTTCTGCAGACACTGAATTGATCTGCCTCTCCTCTAGGCTCTGAAATCCTAGGGGGCTGCGCCTGGGCCTCCTCTATCTCGGGACCACAATGCCCAGGGCAGTGCACACATTTATGAGCGCTCCCTGCAGACAAGCTCCACCCCGCTGGGTGTATTCCACTAATGGCCACAAGATGGCAGCACACCCCAGCAGAGAGATTCACCAAAGGCAGGGGTATGGGTTGCAGCATCCCGCCACACAAAGGAAGGGGTACCCCGGCACGGATCCCCGTGCTCTCCTCAGCCCCACTGGGTCTCCCAGCTGCCAGTCACCCCCACCCCAGGGCACACCCCAGCAGTACTCACTGAGGAGGGCACCCCCATAGAGGCGAATAGGGGTCTTGCTGGTCACCTGGGCTCCATCAAAGACAGCATCATAGAGCTGGTCAGGGAAGGCAAGTGCCTGCAGGCAGCGAGAGGGGCTCAGAGATCCCGCTTGGGAGAGGGTGGGGAGTGACAGCTGATGCTTCCCATGGATGCCCTCCTTCCCCCAGGAGCAGGATCAGTGTCCGGGGGGCAGTCCAGGGTCAGGACCTGATTGTCCCCACCCACCCCCATGCTAGTTCAGAAAACTCCAGGGTTCCCGGGACAAGGAGTCAGGACACAAACCATGGGATCTAGTTTGCTCCTGGACAGGGCACAGGTGTGGCAGTGTCAGGAGTCAGGCTGAGAGCCTGACAGACGGGCCCCTGCACCTTCACGAGGGGCCAGGCTGGAGGAGGAACCCCCGGTGAGCCAGAGAAGGGCTGGGGGAGCCACAGGGGGCCAGATTCCGGGGGCTGGGGCTGGGGGTGGGGGCTCACCATGACCGCAATGCCGGAGAACAGCACAGCAGAGACAAACTGCCAGACCCTGAGAGGCGCAGAGAGAAGCTCACAGCCCTGCCCCAGGGCACCCTCCCCTCTCCAGCCCAGATGCCCAGGGATGGCAGCTTTGGGGGAGGTCATGAGACAAAATAAAATCCAGGGACCAGGCCAAATCAGGCGGGGTCTTAGGCTTTTCACCCCTACTCAAGCTTTCCCCTCCCCAAAAAAGTCAGATAAATGCTCACCTGAGCCCCAGAGGCTCCCGAACAGTAAACTTGATTTCATTGCCCAAGACTTGGCTGATCTGTGGACGGAGGGGTCAGAGGCAATCAGGGTGGGCACAGCTCTCTGCGCCCCCACGTGCTCATCCTCCCAGAGCCCTGCATGCCCCGGGACCCGCCTGGGCACCTCAGCTTGGCCAAAGGGTCCCTCAGGCAGGGAGGGTCACATGAGGCCGCCTCCTCTCCTGCTGCCCCTTAACAGCAGGGTTTAGAAGAAGCTGAAAACAGGATGGTGACACATGAACGCCTAGGCCTCTGCCAAATGCAGGCTTGAAGGCTGGTTCTGCCACTTACTGTGTGGCCTTAGGCAAGGTGCTTAACCTCTCTGAGCCTTTCGTTTCGTCATCTATAAAATGGGTTAATTATTTTACAGTATCTGCATCTTCTAGTGCAAATGAAAAGATTATAAAATGATTATGCAGCAGCTGCTGCAAAGCCAGACATGTAATCGGCACTGAATTCCAACCATCTTGTGATTCCCCGGACACTGCCGTTACATTTCTAGGAGAATCAGCCAAGTCCTAGAACTCCTGCGACTACATGGGCTTCAACTAATCTTCTCCCCGAACGGTGGGTCAGCCTGGCCTGCCTAGCGGGTGCTGGAGGCCCCTGCTCCGCGCCCCACCTTGGAGCGATGCACCTCCCCGTCGTCGTCCTCCCCGCCCACGCCGAGGATCTTGCGGGTCTTCAGGCGGCTCACGAGGTCTGTCTGGCTGTGCTTCTTCATCAGAGGCGGGGGCTGCTTGGCCGCCATGGTCTCCTCCAGCCCGGCCGCTGCAGAAGGGCTGAGGGGAGTCACCTGCCTCAGGCCTGGGTTCCTGCCCAGCTTCCAGACCTTACGGGGAGGGGCATGACGCAGGGGAAGACCACCCCCCACGCTGAGGGCTGCCACGAACCCAGGGCAGCAGGGAGAGCACAGCTGGCCTCCACTCCTCATTTGTCAAACGGGTTGAGGAAATGCTCCCCAGCCCCCGTGGCTCCGGGATCCGGTCTGCTCCAGGTGGACAAAGCACACCCCGGCTCACAGGCCACCTGGTGCCTCAGAGCTGGCCCTGGGGGAGTAGGGAGGGCCTAGGAGAGGGCATTTGGGCCTGGATGGCGGCCACACCAAGTTTCGAGGGGGGATGGGGAAGAAAGGGGCCTGGACTCATGGGACTTCAAATCTGCCCAGGCTGAAGAAGGGAACGGGGTGCCCTCATACCCAGCAGAGCCAGAAAAGGCTGCCAGGGGTGTTGGCAAGGGCACTGAGGTGGTCTAGGTACCCTGCTCAGGCCTTGCCCCTCCCAGCCACCAGCGCCCCAGCAGCCCCTCCCTGCACCCCAGGTCTGCCCATGATCCTCCCCAGCCCCCAACTCCGCCACCCGCAGCAACGTCTTGGGCCAGTTGGGAGCACCTGCTGTGTGCCAGGCCCTGCGCTGGGCGACAGATGCAGAGAGAAGCCGAATGCCCGTCACGTCCTTGGTCAGTCAAATCTATGCAGAGGAGACAGAAGTGAAAGCGGGGTGAGGTGAAGCCTCAGAGGCTGGCTCCAGGTTGGCCTGGCTTCTGTAATCACGGCTGCCCTGCAAGATGGGTGCTGCCTCCCGCCATGCTGCAGATCAGGACACCCAGCTCCCGCGGTTTCACAGCCAACCAGGATGAGTAACGGTTCCGCCACTCCCTGGCTCGGGCCGCTTCCAGCATCTCATGCCCAGTGCACCCACCCTCCAGCAAGGCAGAAAAGCCGTCCCCATCTACAGACAAGCTCGGAAGGACCCCGCTGTCTTAGTGCCCTGTGGCCCCAGGCAAATCACCAGGTCTGCTGGCGGCAAAGTGTGACGATGTCCCCAGGTCACCTCCCATTTTCAACACGAGCCCACCGGTGTCTTAAAATAAAGCACCCAAACAAAAGTCAGAACCCAGTACCAAACTGTGGGGTATGTGGATATGCGGCTGTAGCCTGCATCAGCTAGGGAGGCAGAATACCAGGTCACGTGGGGGACAAGCTGTAAAGTTGAAATAGGCTGTCTTTAGTGACTGTGATGTCATTTCCAGGCCAAACAACCCTCCTACAATCCCGGGCTTTAGTTCCTCCTCTACGGAAGGGGGTGGGTACACAGTTCCCCTCCCCACACACAGGCCCCACAGTGACAGGAGACAGTGGCAGGTGGTAACTAACTGTGACCGGAGTCCCACGCCCGGCACACAGAGCCCCTCAGTTAACGCTGCGGGGCGTGCCAGCCATCACGAAAGGGGGCCGACCCCACCCTGCTAGGGAAGCCAGAGCCTAACCTTTCATCACACGGCTCCTGGAGGGCCCACGGCACTGTCCCCACACCTCAGCTGCTAGCCACCACCTTCTGGCGAACCCAGATAGAAACTGCAATTAGCCACATCCGTCCAGCTGCCAGGCAAGGCTGCCCTGAAAGTCACTGAGCCGCTGGTGAGCAGAGCCCAGAACTGGGGTTCCGTCACCTATTCCTTGGCCAAGGATGCTACCTGACCCATGCCCTTCCCCTTCCAGTCTCCCCCTGGCCTTTTATCTTTTAATACATACAGCAAAACTGACAGGGTTTAGTTGCACAGTTATTTGAATTTTAGCACACATATAGATTTTTGTAGCCATCAGCTCCAGATCAAGACAACAGGCAGTTCCACCACCTCAAAAACTCCCTGGCGCTGTCCTGACCACACCTACCCCTCACTCCCCCACACTGGCAACCACTGATCTATTCTCTGAAACGATAGCTTTTGTTTTTTCAAATATGCTACGTAGCCAGGCGTGTGGCTCACACCTGCAATCTCAGCACTTTGAGAGGCCAAGGTGGGCGGATCACGAGGTCAGGAGATCGAGATCATCCTGGCTAACACAGTGAAACCCCATCTCTACTAAAAATACAAAAAATTAGCCGGGCATGGTGGCACACGCCTGTAGTCCCAGCTGCTACTCGGGAGGCAGAGGCAAGAGAATCGTTTGAATCCGGGGGGTGGTGGTTGCAGTGAGCCAAGATCGCGCCACCGCACTCCAGCCTGGGTGACAGAGCGGGATTCCGTCTCACCGTTTCAAAAAAAATGCTACGTAAGTGGAATGATAAAGCATAGCACTTGTTGAGGCTGGCTCTTGTCATAGAGCAGAATGCCTCTGAGATTCCTCCAAGCCACTGCGTGTATCGAGTCCACTCCTGGTCATTGGAGAGCAGCATTCCTGGGGTACATGTAGGAGTCTGCTTGTCCATTCAGTCACCGAAGGCCATTCGGGTTATTTCCGGCTGTACACTATGAATAGAGCAGCTACAAACCCCAGGTTCCTGTGAGGCCGTAAGTTTTCATTTCTCTATGGTAAATACCAGGAGTGGGATTGTTGAGCTGTATGGCACGTCCCTGTCAGACTTTCAGAGAAAGCATCAACCTATTTCCAGAGCGGCCATGCCACTGCGTGTCCCTGGCAATGTGGGGGTGCTCCAGTTCCTCCATATCCCCGTCAACAACAGTCGGTAAGGTCGGTCTCTATTTCAGCCCTTCTGTGAAGTCCTCCTGGCTGTTCACCGTCTCCCAGGCCAGATGTCTTTCCTCCCTCAGTCCTGCTTTACCCCATTCTGCTGTATGGCCTTGTACTCTGAGTCTCGGTTTCCCCATCTGTGAAATGGAGCTGTCATTCCCAGCTCCTAGGGAGCCCGGGGCACAAAGAAAAGCTCAGAGCACTCCACACAGCACCTGCACATTTGCATGAGGAAACCACATTTAGTGAGGTCTGCTGTGGGCCAGGGACGTGGGTGATGGGACGGGCCCCCTATCCTGAAAGAGCTCCCAGCCTGGGCAGGGAGGGGGCACTGATCTGCTAGTCACTGATTAGAGCAAGTTACTTTTCCTCTCTGAGCTCGGGGGTTCTCATCTATGAAATGAAAACAGCCAGCCTCACTTTTCCCCTAGAGCTGGTCTCAGGAGAAACAAAATAACGGACGGACAGTGCTTTAGAAAGATCCAGCTCGCTGCTCAAGCCAGAGGCCTAATGGGTAAGTGCTTAACTGCTGAGGTCGTACCCCGAGTGTTAATCCCACATCCATCACTGCTTGGCTGGGTGGTGGGCTGGTCGGTCACTTAACCGCTACGTGCCTCAGTCTTCCCGTGTGTAGTTGGGAAAATAAGGTGTCCTATCCTATAGAAACGTTGTTAGAATAAAAGACATAATCTCCATGAAGCCCTGGGGAAGTGCCCGGCCCACAGCAAGTCCTCAACGAAGACAGGCGATTATTAGACACAGACACTGCCACCTTCCCCAGCTCTCTCATGTGGCAGAGGCCCCGGGATGGAGGCTGTGGAGGAGCGGGAAATGGGCCTGACTGGCACTTCTTAACTTCTCCGCCCCACTGGGCAAAGTCCCAGACCTCAGTCCCAGCGCACAAGGCTGGCACCTAGCCACTGCCCACCAGGCCCAGGCTGTGTCCACGACCCACCCCGCGGGGTGGAAGCTTCCAGACATTGGACACACTGCTTTCCTCTGCCTGCTGACCCCTCTACACCAACACACACACATATGCACACCAGACACACACCACACACACATGCACACACCCCACACACACACACCACACACACATGCACACACCCCACACACACACCCCCCACACCACACTGCACACACCCCACACACACACCCCACACACACATGCACACACGCCACACACACACCCCCCTACACCACACTACACACACCCCCCTACACCACACTACACACACATGCACACACACCACACACATACCACACCACACACACATGCACACGCACACACACACCACACACCCACATACACCACACATGCACACCACACACACCATACAAGCACACACATGACACACGCACACACACACCCCACACACACACCACACACACACACCACACACACCACACATGCACACACACCACACAAAACCACACACACCTACCACACACACGTATACCACACACATAATACACACACACTACACACACACGTACACCACACACACCCCCCACACACACCACACACACATACACCACACACACACCACACAAACCCCACACACACACCACACACCACACACACTCCCCACACACACCACACACACATACACCACACACATGTCACTCACACCACACCATCCCCACACACACACCACTCACACCACATCATCCCCACACACACATCACACACACACCAGACACCACACACACCATCCCCACACACCACACACACCACATCACCCCCACACACACCACATACCACACACAACCATACACACACCACACACAGTGCGCTACACACACACACACACAAACACACACGCACACACGCAGCATTCCCCTCTGCACCCCAGGCCGGAGCCAACAACAGTTGCTGTGAATCAAAGGCTGTGGGACGTGTCAGTGCCCACCCGCTGGGGCTGGGTACAGAGTGGGCGCTACAGTGTCATGGACAGAATCACTCGTGGGTGGAACAAGCTTCACCCACAGGCACTGCCATCAGACGTCTGGGCTGGTGAGGCCCACTGTGCCCACTCCCCAAATCCACTCTAACAGGGAGGTCATCACTCACAAAGGGCCTCTGTGGCCCCCGCAGAGAAAATGGAACCTTGAACTTTACTTCCAAGGAGGAGGCCCCACACCCGCCTTCCCGCACAGGAAACTGTTCTGAGACCTGAGTTCTGTCCCTGCTTCACCCCCAGGACTGCGCGCTGCACTGATCAGATCCACCCAGCAGCCGCTCAGCCGCCCCACCCGCAGGGCAAGCCGCACGCCCCTCAGGCTCCCCTTGCCCTTCCTCTCCTTCACTGCAGGTGTTGACTTCAGCCCTGGCACCGTTTTAACCTAAGTGAGGACAGAGGACTCCACTGTGCATTATGGCCAAACCCTGGCTTTGGGGTAGGGGGACCTGGGTGTGAGTCTTCATTCTGCCCGCTTGCCATTTGTCTGGCTTTGAGCGAGTTGCTACAGCTCTCCTAGCCTCAGTATCCCCTCTTGTGAGATGGGGGTAAAGTGAACCCCTCACAGAAGTGCTGATGGAGAGAGAAAGAAGGAGTGCAGGCGGGCACCCATGGGGAAAGTGCCCTGCCCAGGGATGAGCCTGGCCTTCCTTCTTCTTCCCTTTCTCCACTCAGCCATGCACAGTGGAAAAAGCCTGCTGTCGGCACCGTGAAGATTCCTGTCCCACCCCACTGCCTTCTAAAGGGCCCCTGGGGTTTCCCCAGGAGCGAGGCTGCGGGAGGCTGGGGCAGCCACAGCAAGCAGAGCCGCCCTCCACCCACACCACCTGTCTGGCAAGAAGGGAGGACGTGGCTCCCAGGGTGCAGGCCTGGGATCCCGAACCTTTTCCTTCTGCCCTGCCAGCCGCTCTCACCCACATTCCCAATCAGCTAGAAAACCTTCCAACAGTGGTTCTCCCTGCCCACCCTTTACGTAAGTGGGAAGGTCCCCGGACACTCTGTCCCCCGCCATGCTCCTTGTTCCTCGAAGCTT